CCACCCCCACAATGTGGCCTGCCAGCACCCAGCAAGCCCTGAGCCTGCTCAGTGTCCCCTCCTGTGTGGCACTTCTGACCCCCCTGAGCCTGGCCACACCCCTTCCCCTGGGATGTAGAAAAGGGGAGTGGGTCCTAGCATTCAGGGTCAGAGCAAGGACTTAAGCCTGTGCTGACTCCTTGCCCCACCTGGTCAGGCCCTGCTCACACCTTCCCTCTCACCAAGCCACCCGTTCCCCCACCCTTACCCTCCACCTTGTTCTCCATTGACAGCACAGTGCTCAGGGTCCACCCCCCATGAGACACCCTAGAGCTCAGCGAGTGGGCTCCCTCGCCGGGTGTTCCTCTGGAGCCGCTGGGTGTGAGGGTCAGCCCAGCAGGAGGCGATGATACTGCCGGGCACACTGCTGTGTCCAGTACACTCAGCCCAGGGCTGGGGTACTAGTGCCTCAGCCATTATGGAGAGCACTGGTGGGCTGGAGGGAGCCGAGAGCTCCCGCAGGCTCTGCTCGCCACGAGCGGCCACACTGTACTCACGGGTCCACACGTGCAATGGAGCGGATGCCACGCTCTCAGTAGGGTGCTCCTGTGCCCCGAGCCCACTGAGGGCGGTCACCCGGACGGTGTATCTCCTTCCAGGAAGCAGGGCACTGTGGGGAGAGAGGACAGGATGGTCTCGGGCTATGTGTCCGGCTCTGTGGCCAGGCTGTGGATGGTCTCGAGTTGGTGGCTCAGGCGGCCTCCACGAGGGCAGATTTGTGGCCTGAGACCTGGGTGCTCCTTGGTGGGAAGCTGCTCCCTGTCTGTCTGTCCAGTGCAGTAAGTCCGAGAAGGCATAGGCCTGTCTGAAGTGCTTGGCATGGCCTGGAGGCTGATGTTCAGACAGGTAAGGGGCCCTTGGCTGGAATTCCCAGGTGGGTCCCCAGCCCCTCACGAATACGAGGGCCTCGCTGAGCCTAATGTTTGTGGTTCACACAGAGCCGTCGCCTCCTCCTGGGAGGCAGGGGGCGCCGTGACCAGCCCCAATAACCCTGGGCTCTGTGTCTCTGACTGGCTTTCCTGTCTGTCCTCACATGTTTCATCACAACTGGTGGTGGGGAATGAAGCGTGTCCAGTGTGGCTCCATGGGGAGGGGGCTCTGGGAGCTCATGCCTGGCCCCCAACCTTTTCCCGTAGGCCTCTTCCCTTCTGTGTGCTCATGATATTTCTCTGCCATAGATTCAGCTGTACATGCAGCCTCGGTTGAATCCTGAGAGTCCTCTCGGCAAGCCTGGGAGTGGTCTTGGGGACCCGACAGTCACCAAGTGCCCCTGGGGCCACAGGTGTTGTTTCTGTCATATATTCTTTGGAAGTGGGCAGGATGTCAATCAAGAAAAGTGACAGCAACACTTAAAGCAGAGTCTTGTCTCCAGCACAGATGACCATCTGGTGGGAGACCAACATGGCTGGAAAAAGATGGGTCTTGATGAGGCTGCAGACTAATCTTAAGCAGTGCGGATAGGTTAGAGGGTGCCCAGGGACAGAGTCCCTCCCCCCTCATGACCTTGACCCCTGGCTGCTCTGGGCTGCACGCTGCTGTGCTGTTCCCATTAGCAGCCTGGCTATCTATTGGCAAGCACAGTAACTGGATGGGAGTTTCCTCCGCTGGAGCTGTGTCTACTCTGCAGCCCCCAGAATCCAGGGCCAAGGCCACCCCTCCGCAGGATTACCAGCCAGTCCCCCTTCCTCACTCTCTCATTGTTTAGCACTGTCTGCCTGCCCAGCCTGACCCCGGGTGGCCCTGTATGGGTCGTTAAGGTGGTGATTTTGATCAGCTATTTTGAATGAGTTTTGTTTGTCATTAATTTGTAATAATTGGGCATAAGAAGTTTATATGCCTAGGTTAAGGTTTGAACGTATCATTTGCCTGTTTTTTTCCCTCTCAAAGGGGTCTATGTGACTCAGGCTGGAGGAGCTCTGCGTAACCGTGACAGGCTGGTCTCCATGTAGCGAGTCTGTCTCACTCCCTTGCAGGAGATACAGCCTCCAGGTTTTTAGGGTGTCTCTGCTCTTTTGGGACTTAACCCCTTGTCTGGCATCCCTGTGAGGAAGTACTGAAGGAGTGAGCCCAGGCTGAGAGTAGCTGGGCCCTGTGTGGACCACCAGGTGCCAGGTGGACACAGGTGGCACACACCTACCCCTCAGGTGGGCAGAGCCAGTGGCAACCATAGGGGAACTGGAAGGAGGAGAGGAGGCCGGCCTGAGCTCTTACCTGAATGTGAACGTGTCCACACTTTTGTCCACGTCGGTGGAATGGTCCTCTTGGGCCTCAGGGTGGCGGATGGACACACGGACACTGCTGACAGTGGCGTGACGTATCCTATGCAGAGCCCACCGCACGGAGATGGCGTTGGCCGTCACATTGGTGACCTCAAGGCCCTCGACAGGGCGGGGTCCTGGGAGACAAAGGGTGCTCAGCCTTGCCAGCACCTCCTTACCCCTGGGAAGGCGGGGTCTCGAAACAACTGAAGAGGCTCAAGAAGGTGCTGGGGGAGGGGGGTGGTCACACAAAGGCACCCAAGTAAGGCAGCAGCCAGCTGGGCTTGCTAAGTGCATCCCTCAGCCACAGTGGGGACTCCGTCAGGTGGACCTGCCCCAGGCTCCTGCCCTGGCAGGGCTGTGAAGGGCCAGCCAGCTCCACCAGAGGCCAGCAGGTGGGCACAGGGCCCCTCCTGATACCCCCTTGTCTTTTCTCTGGCTGATGTTTTGGTCGCACTGATGTAATCATCTGGGCGGTGCTGGGGCCTGTCAGTGATAGAAGCTAAGAGAGTCCTCTGACCCAGAGAAGGGGCCGAGTGTAGGCCAAACCCTGGACCAGGGGAGCGGAGGCGGGTGCTGCAGCACCAGTCCAGTGGGCAGTGGTCCTCCCACCCACCCTGGTGTCCTGGTGGAGACCCCATTCTGATGAGAAGGGGAGGCCATCTTCCTCCCAGATGCCTTTTCTGGGCAGACCCCTTCTCGGGGAGCTTTGAAAGTGCTTCTTCCTAAAGCCAAGCTCAGGATGATCCCTATTCTCCCTCGGACCCCAAGGACTCCAACGCTGCCACACACTCAGGGCCCTGCTGTCCTTTCCCGCAACACGCCTATCTTGACTCCGTATCTGTCCCTCACTTGGCCCTCCGTGTCCACACGTCAGTACCCTGTGAGGGCTGCACACTGCCCCAGGACGCCTTTCTGCTCCCTTCCCTGGGACCTTGCCTCCCAGCACCTGGTGTGGTAGGAGCTCAGCGCTGCCCAGGGCTGCACCCCCCAGTCCACCTTCTTCCCCCAGCACCCCTTCCCCTGACTGCACCGCACCCCCCCCCAGTGCTCTCCACCATCCCTAGAGGCTCCCACCCACCCGTCCCACTGCCCTTCCCCCATGACAGCCCCTCCTCCCACACTCCTCCACCAGCCTGTCTCTGCCCAGCCTGTGTCTGGGGTGGGCCTCGCTGGGTGACTCACGCGTGCGGGTGAGCAGCACCAGGGGCCTGCTGATGTCGTTCCTGTTGTTGGCGTGGCGCTTGACCGAGAAGATGGAGATGTTGTAGGCCCTGCCGGCCCCCAGGGCTCGGAGCTGGTGGGAGGAGCGGCTCTGGTCCACAAAGTCGGTGCGGCGGAAGGAGCCGTCAGCGGAGGTGTAGGTGACCGCATACCCGTCCAGCATCTGCCTGGCAGCCTGGCCTTCGGGTGGGCGCCAGGAGATGGTGACCCCACTCTCCTCCACTTGGTCCACCTTGAGGGCCGTTGGTGGGAAGAGCTCTTCAGGGTTTCGGTCAAGAACAAGGGAAGGGGGGGCGGTCAGCTGTCGGCCATCAAAGCCCCAGACCCCAAGCAGGTACCCAGCCTGGTGGCTCTGGGGCCTGGCTACCCTGGGGTAGATGTGGGCACTGCTGGCAGGGAAGCCACTTCTGGCACCTGCAGGGGATGCTTTCATTTTGGTTTCTGGCTGTTGCTCCCGGGATAGGCTCTTGCATACACATGACTGCACTGAAGCCTCCTGGAGGGGCTCATGTGCACACGTGACTATTCATGCCACCTTCGACTTATGTGCCCCTCCCTCCTTCCCGGTAGATCAGCGGTTCTCAACCTGTGGGTCGCGATCCCTTTGGGGGTCGAACGACCCTTTCACAGGGGTCGCCTAAGACCATCGGAAAACACATATATAATTACATATTGTTTTTGTGATTAATCACTATGCTTTAATTATGTTCAATTTGTAACAATTAAAATACATCCTGCATATCAGATATTTACATTACGATTCATAACAGTAGCAAAATTACAGTTATGAAGTAGCAACGAAAATAATTTTATGGTTGGGGGTCACCACAACATGAGGAACTGTATTAAAGGGTCGCGGCATTAAGAAGGTTGAGAACCACTGCTGTAGATCCTGGGAAGCAGCTGTCAGACGCTCTGCCCTGGGTGGAGGGGGAGCCTCGACCCTTTGGCCTGTCATTTGGGGTGTCTACTGCCCTCTGAGTGAGGAATAGAGGCCCTACCACCTCATTCTGGTGCCCTTATGCCTCACCTTTGGCACAGTCCTTGCCCGTGTAGCCCACTTTGCAGGTACAGCTGTGGGACCCATTGCTGGCCAGGCAGTAGCCACGACCCCCACAGGGGCTGGAGAAACAGGGATCACTCACTGGAGGAGGGGGAAAAGCAGCATTGAGCTCTGGGGTGTCATCTGGCCCCCCACTGGCCTGGGCCTTGCTCTTGGGGGACTTGGTTGTTCCTGTGTGGGTGTGTTTTTGATGGAGGTAAGGGTACTAACAGGCAGCTTTTGGGGGGGCGGGAGTAGGAGAAGGGACACTCCAGGATGTGGGGTCAGGGCTCATCAGAAGCTGGGCAGGTGTGGCCTTCTGACTCTGAGCTAGGCCATCTTCCCCCACCCCAAGCCAGGTGCCCTGGCAGGCAGTGACTTGGGGTGGGGTGAGCACAGCGCTAGCCCTTCCACGCCTCCCTCTGCACTGCGCTGTGGCTGGAGTCCCCACCCAGGTCAGGGCCCGCAGGTTCCCAGCATGGCCACAGGAAATACTTGCAAACCAGTAGCAAGTCCCTGATCACTGTCTCAGCTGCTGATCTCAGGGCCCCCGCCTGCCCCAGGCCTGTTCACCAACAGTCCCCACCTTGCTTGTCCCTAGACAGGCTCCTGTGTCTGCAGTCCCATCACAGGCCTTGTCCCTGGAAGCCCCGTCCACCCTGCACAGCTAAGTGCTGCCAGCCAGGCCTAGTCGGGGCTGGGGACATGCCCATAAGCAGGTCAGCCACCCCCACGGACACATCTGTTCTAGGAGAGTGGTGTGACAGCAAGTGGAGGGAATACAGATGAAACAACCCCATAGGGCAGGGAGTGCTGGGGGCACGGCCCGTCAGAAGTCAGGGAATGCCTCATCTGGGAGAGACATGTCCCAGGGGGAGACTATTCCAGGTGTAGGAGTCGGGGTGGGGGGGGGTGCCCAGACCCTGAGCTGGAAAGCCTGGCCATCCAGGGACAGCAGGGGAGGTGGGGGAGCTTGCAAGGAGCCCAAGGAGGAGCGTCCGGGCCATGCCCACACCTGTCTCACAGTGGTAGCCGAAGAAACCCTCTGGGCAGACGCACAGGTAGGCCCCGCCACCGTTCTTGCACTGGCCTCCGTGCTGGCAGGGGCTGGAGTCGCAGGCATCCACCTCTGGAGAACACCCAAAGAGTGGGCCCGAGCGGCAAAGGGGTGTCTGGGGGAGGGAGGAGAGGACAGCGGGAAGAAGGGAAAGGGCGGCGTGGACGAGCCGGGGGTGGAAGTCTCTCTCATCCTTGGTGGGTGCCCAGCTCTCCCTTCACCCCTAGAATCCTGCCTGCCAGGGAATCTGTCCAGCAGGGCCAGGGTGGCTGCCCCCTCCGCTCTGCTCTCTGAGTGGCCCAGGGTCTGGGCTTTCAGAAAGCAGTTTTGCCTGGGTGTCTGGGGCATCTCAAGTGTGGGTGAGGGCCTGGGCACACAGGGGACCCACCCAAGCATAGCCCCTACCTGTCTCGCAGTGGACTCCAGTGAAGCCTGCGGGGCACTGGCACACAAAGGCTCCTGGGAGGTCCCTGCAAGAGCCTCCGTTTCTGCAGGGCTGCGCCTGGCACTCATCTGTCTCTGCAAAGACAGGACACGGGGCTGCATGAGCCTACCTGGCCCCACATGGGCCTAATGGGCCTATAGGGCCCCACATGGTCTTATATGGGCTTACATGTGCCTCCATGGACTTACATGACCTCCAGGGTTCTGTGTTCAGCCTGAGGCTTCTCCCTCACACCTGCCCTCTCCACTGCCTGTCCCACAAAGCCCCCACCCCAAGCTACTCCCAAGTTTACTGTCCAGGCTGGACATCCTGGGCCTGGCCCTCCCTGGGTGGTGTCACTGTCTCAAGGCTTAGAGCCCCACACAGGTGTAAGGAGTGCAGGGCTCATCCAGCAGTGCGCCTGGCAGGCCCTCATTCCCTCCGCCAGCTTGGAGCACTGGCCAGGTATCAGGGCTGTGACCTGCCCTGTCTGAACCCCATCTTGTCTGCCCCTGAAGCCAGAGTCTGCAGGAGCAGGAGAAGACAGTCAGTCAGTGTTTCTTAGCCAAGCTTCCAATCTCCCCAGGTAGGTGGAGGCAGAGCTGGCAGGGGCCTGAGTGTGTAGCCAGCCAGACACCAGCCAGGGTGAAGAGGGTCAGGGCAGGCCATGGACATGGCCAGGCTGCTGGAGCTGCTGCCCTGTGGTGAGGGCCAGGCTGTCTTACCCAGCTCACAGTGGGCTCCTTCATGCCCCGGGCTGCAGACGCACAGGTACCCGGCGACTCGATCCTGGCAGGAGCCCCCATGCAGGCACGGCTGGGATCTGCACTCGTCAATTTCTGGGAGAGAGGAGTGCCCAGGTGCACGGGTGCCAGGAGAGATCCGAGAATAAAACAATGTTGCCGTCATTAGAGGCAATGGCTTGAAACCAAATTAAGATGGACATAAATGAGTTTTGTTCTGAGGAGACACCATGGGACTCAATTTCCCAGCTCAGGTGGATGGGCCCAATCTTGCCAATTCACTTAATAACAATCATGTACGAAAACAATAAAATGGGGTTGAGTCCTTTGTTTTAAAATGTTCACCCTGTGTGTTTCTTAAACTGGGAGTTGTGCTACTGAATTCAAAATGTTCCATTTAGAAAAGTTTAATTTGAATGCTTAACAACATGTGAGTAAATAGATGGTAATGATATAATGACTCCTGGAGCTGCACTCAACCTGGGCACTAGAATGCTGACGGCTCAGCAGGGCGTATGCACATCCCCACCCCGTGTGACACAAATTTCTGTGGCTATCATTTCTGTGCCTGTTTAAATTTAAATTTTTATGAGTTGCCTAATCAATACTATAGATGGCTTTGCTTTTGCTATTTATGAACTTTATCTATAGGATATTGTGGTATATGTACTCTTCTCTGTCCACGCTACATTAATAAGACACCTCCATGTTGCTGCAGGTCTCTGTGGGACCCCCTTTCCCTGCTGTATAATATTCCACAGTGTGATTATACTGTACTTTACCCATCCTTGTTTGGTGCACACTTGGGTTGGTCTTAGACTTCTTACTATTGCAAAACAAGTGTTTCTGTGTCTGCTTCCCCGTCTACTGCTTGTGGATGTGCACCGAGAAGTGGAGTTGCTGGGACACAGCTTATATGAATGGTCAGCTCGATGGGCAGATTACCAAGTGGTTTTCAAAGTGCTTAAACAATTCACACTTCCTCCAGCAGTTTTCTCACAAATCCTGTGGATCCACATCCTCACCAACACATAGGCCTCTTCAACTTCGGAAGTTTGGCCAACTGCACGCATCTCGGTGTGCTTTTGATTGGCATATGGGTGATTGCTGCATTCTTTATGTTCACTGGTTCTGTGTACCTCCTCCTCCATGAAATGCCTGTTCATGAGTTTTGCTGATTTTCCTGTCAGGTTGATTATTCTTTTCTTATTGATTCATAGAGTTCTTCATATATTCAGTTTGTACCTTACATTTCACTTTCTTCTTTAAGTTCCTAATTTTTATATAGTCAATTTGTCCATTTTTCCCCTTTTATAGTTAGTGCTTTTTTTTTTTTTTTGGTTTATGGCATCTTTTCTTACCCCAAGGCCAAAAAAAAAATGTACCTATATTTCCCAAAGAAATATATATAGTTAAAAAGACATTTTAATCCTTAATCCATCTGGAATTGATTGTTGTGTATGGTGAGAAGTGGGCAACCAATGTAATATTTCTCAAAGTGCATGAAAATTTTGTTTCAGCTGTGGTGAAGATTTTCTCATCCTTTTTAAAGAAGTTTATAGCCCTAGCCGGTTTGGTTCAGTGGATAGAGCGTAGGTCTGTAGACTGAAAGGTCCTGGGTTCTATTCCAGTCAAGGGTACAAGCCCAGGTTGCAGGCTCAATATTCTCTCTCATCATTGATGTCTCTCTCTCTCTCTCTCTCTCTCTCTCTCTCTCTCTCTCTCTTTGTCTTCCTCTTCCTCTCTGAAATCAATAAAAATACATTAAAAAAGAAAGTTTATAATTTTGGCCTTTATATGGATGTTATAATGAATTTCACATATAAAAATTTATCATGATTTTGATACCATTGTACATCATTTTTGTTGCACTTCATTTCCCAAGTGTTCACTGCTAGAATATGAAAATATAACTGGTTCTGTATGTTGACTCTGAATCCTGTGACCTCATTGAATTCACTTCTTAGTTCTATAGCTTCTTTTGTAGAATTGCCTTAGCATTTTCTGTGCTCACTATTGTGTCATCTTCACGGCTTCCTTTCCAGTAGACACACCCTTTATTTCCTCTTGTCCATGGCCCTGTCTGGGGTCTCCAGGACCACACTGGGAGGAGTTGGTGAGATGGACACATTTGCCTCAATACTGATTATGGCAGGAAGCCAGTCATCATTAAGTATATTATTGGCTGTTGAGTTTTTCACGGTTCCTTTATCAGGTTGAAGAAATTCTCTTCTACTCTTAGTTTATTAAATTTTTAATAATAGTTGAATTTTGTCAAATGATTTTTCTGCCTCTATTGAGGTGATCATATGGTTTCCTCCTTTATCTCCTAATATGGTGTATTACATTGATTGATTTCCAGATGTTAAACCAGCCTGTGCTCTTGAGATAAATCCCACTTGGTCATGATGTGTTTTGCTTTTTATGTAGTACTGGGTTTAATTTAGTAACATATTGTTAGGATTTTTTTATGTATGTCATGAGAATGTTATCTTTAATTCACTTTTTGTAATGTCTCTGTCTTGTTTTGGTATCACAGAAATACTGGTCTCATAAAATAAGTAGAGAAATACTCCTTCCCCCTGTGTTTTCTAAAAGAGCTTGTATAGGGTATAATTCCTTTCTTAGATGCTTGATAGAATTCACCAGTGTTAGGAAAATCTGGTCCTGATATTTTCTTTGCAGGAAGGTTTTTCATTCCAAAGAAAATTTAATAGATATAGGGATATTCATATTTTCTAATTTTCCTTCTGCCAGTTCTGGTAATTTGTGTCTTTCAAGGTATTCATCCGTTTCATCTAGATATATTGGCCTAAAGTGCAATACCCCCTGTTGTCCTTTAAACATTGATAGGGTCATTAGTGATGTCTCTTCTTTCAATCTAATATTGCCAATTTTTCTCTTTTTCTTGATCAGTCTAGCTAGAGGTTATCTATTCATTGACTTTTCCAAGGAACCAGATTTTGGTTTCATTGATTTTTTTCTGTATATATGTTTTTTATAATTAAATTCTCTAAATGTTTATTTATATACTAGAGGCCCGATGCACAAAATTTGAGCAAGGGGCTTGGCTCTCTCAGCCGTGGCGGCTGCCTCAGCCCTCGCAGCCCCACCCCAGAGGGCCCACAGATCACCATGGCACTGGGGAGGCTCACTCCAGATGCCCCGCAGCTGGCAGACTGGATGGAATTAGGGGCGCTCAGGCTGTAGCCTTAGTCATGTGAGTGCCATGCCACCGAGCCCAGCCGTGTGCCGTTGAAGTGCCACATGACATGCATGACCTCCTCGGGGGGTGCAGTCCACCTCTGCAAGGACACAGCAGCCCCTTCTGCACAGCAGGGCACCTGCCCAGCCCCATTACTCTGCCCACCAGGCCACAGAGCTCGGAACCCCTGCTCCCCGCACAGCCTGCCCCATGGTGAAGGTGCCTTGACCTCCAGGAGGGCTGCCCAGAGGTTTCCTTTCCTTCTTCCCGTCTGTTCCCTCCAACCCCTGCATACTGTCCTCTGCTCTTCCAGGATTAGGAAGAACTCCTTGCCCCCACCCCAGTCCCCTGGCCCTCTCACCCGCCTGGCACCGGCGTCCTGTGTACCCTGCTCGGCAGCGGCAGAAGAAATCTGTGCCCAGGTCCTCGCAGGTACCCCCGTTCACACAGGGGCTCCGGAAGCAGGGGGAAGGGGCTGCAAGGTCACAGGGGCCACTGTCACCCATCACTTCCTCCCCACTGGCCTCTGGGCTGCACAGAGATGTCCCCTCTGTGCCGCTCTGCCTACCCCTCCACCCCTGCCACCCCAGCCTGGGCCAGCCATGAGGGGCGTGTTTTCTGTCTCTAGTGGCCTGCATCCACCTTACCTATCTCACAGTGCCGCCCGGAGAAGCCTGGGGGACAGTCACACTTGTATTTGCCAATGTAGTGGAAGCAGGTGCCTCCATTGTGACAGGGCCCAGAGGCGCACGAGTCTGGCTTCCCTGGGAGCAGAGGGCACAGTTGGGGTCAGGTGTCATATACCCACCACCTCTGCCCCTTCCGTGGTCCCCGGATCCCAAAGCAGATGTGGTGGGTCGGAGGTCCTGGTTCCCACCCCCGATTCCTAGCCGATCCCAGCTGGCAGGCCGCACCGATCTCACAGTGCCTCCCAGTGAAGCGGTAAGGGCAGTTGCAATGGTACTCGCCGCCTGCTTCCTTGCAGGTGCCCCCGTTCCGGCAGGGCCCCGAGCTGCACAGGCGCGGCCGGGCTGTGGAAGGACAGAGAGAGAGGGAGGCGGGTAAACAAAGGCTCACGGTACCCGCACCCATGTCTTCTCAGTCCTCAGGCACTTGTGGGCCCTGCAGGCTCTGGCCTGCTTCTCAGCCCCACAGGCCTGGCAGCAGCAGGGGCCAAGCCAGTCTGTAGATTCCCTCTCCACCTCGGGGCCTCTGCCCACCCCACCTCTCTCCTCTGCCCCGAGCCCTTCAAACTGCATGGAGGGGATCATCCAGGATGGGCGCTGGTCAGTACTTAGGGAAGAATAGTTACACTCTCAAGTGGCTGTGTTGTTGACATTCTCCAAGTTGGATTAGATGTAACAAAACCCTAATGAATGTTTTTCAAATCAATGATTCTAAAAGCTATTTGAAAAAATGCTGAGCAGGAAACAAAGCCTATTCTGAGGAAAGCAGTGATGACCAGGGGGCCACAGACCAGATCCAGGAACCCCTGAACCATTGGAAGGGGAGTGCATTATTCCCGGGATGACAATTTAAAAACACAATAATAACAATAAAATTTGGACTGTGTAACATATACAAAAATAAACTCTATGACACGAATAGCCTGAAGCAGAGTGCACCAGCTCTCCCTGCAAAGGGCCTGCTATTAATATTTTTGGCTTTCCGGCCAGGTGGTCACAGGGCGACCAATGCACTGACAAATACCCTCCGGCAGGGGGAGGAGCCAGGCCACTGGCGCTGTCCGGGGTGCTGACACCCACCTTTCTCGCAGTGCCTGCCATGGAACCCACGTGGGCACTCGCACGTGTAGGAGTCGTCCTGGGCCTCACAGGAGCCTCCGTTGAAGCAGGGGTCTGAGTCGCAGGGTGAGGGCAGTGCTGTGGGGTCAGAGGGCAGCCCTGTTGCATTCTGGGCAAGAGGCTGGCAGGGCCACCCTGACACCCTGGCTGGGACCTCGGCCCCTAAAATACACTCTGCTGGGTCTTGATTCCTCCCTCAGGCTCTAAGGCCCCTCCCTGGAATTTCTCTTATCCTTGATTTTCCCAGAATTCAGCCTCCCTCTTCTAGGAGCTGGGATTGAGCTCACCAACACCACATCACACATAGTGGTGGTGGTGGGGTTTAATCACATGCTGCATTAGGCACCCGTTGACATGCTAGCAGCTAAGCTAGAGGCTTGGGAAGACACTGCATGGCACCTGCATGCAGTCAGGTGCCCTTTGGCTATCAGCCTGCTGCAGGGAAGATGGGAGGAGACCTGGCCTGTGTTAGAGGACTGCCTGCCGACTGGGTGGGGGTGCACCCACAGGTCCTCTGGTGCACCTCAGGGAGGCTGCCACTTTCCTCCCAAACACCCCCCACCCCCAGTTTGTGGGCACCATCCCAGCCCTCAGGTATGTGCATGCCCTCCACCCCTCTCACAGTGGCTGATGTTGTGGTCAGTGTGGCAGACGCACAGGTAGCTCCCGCTGTACTCCATGCAGTAGCCGCCATCGGGGCACTGGGTGTTCATGTTGCAGGGCGTGGCTGTGACTTCTGCACGGGAGGAAGAAGCCCTGTCTCAGGTCTTCCTAGGGACCTGGTGTTCTTAACAAGGGTCGGGGTGTGCAAGACCCAGTGACCCCAACAGGGAGATCAGGTTCAGGCACTTTTATCGCCAGCTCCCTCCTGGGGTGGGGGTGGGGTCACAGAAACACTGGTGGAGGGTCTGGCCTTGTGGATCTGGGTCCAGGCTGAAGCCACCTTCAAACCCTGGTTTGGAGGATAGTCAGGGGCAGGCAAGGTGTCCCCAGCTCAACTCTGGGCACCTACCAAATTCGCAGAGGAGCCCAAAGAAGCCCAGGGGGCACTGGCAGAGGGTGGTATTGCCCGCGAGACATCTGCCACCATTTCGGCACTCACAGTCATCAGGGGTTCCTGCCACGGAGAGAGGAAGGCGCCTCCGATGTGGGCGTGCTAGAGGGTGGAGCCCTTTCCTGACCCTGCCCTGCTCCTGGCGACCTTCCCATAAGAGCTGCTGTGTATACCCCCACATGCTCACACATTCTCTATCCTGCTGTTTGCATGCACACCCCACGGGAGGCCCCAGCCCGGCCACACGCACTGTCCCTGCAGTCGAGGCCCATGAAGCCTTCGGGGCACTCGCACACGTAGCCCTCATCTGCGTCGACACAGGTGCCCCCGTTCTGGCAAGGGACTGAGAGGCAGGGGTCAGGCACTGGCTGGCTTCCTGTAAGAAAGACAGTGGTGACCAGAGCAGCAGCACACATTGGGGTTTCCACCTCTGTTCCCAGTGCCAAGTGCAGTTTAAGCCGGAGGCCTACTTCCTGGGAGCTAATTTCCTGCTGCCCCTCCCCTGAGAGCCCCTCTTTGGAGCAGGATGAGAAGCAAGGATAAGAAGGGCCCACGGTGGGCACCGAAGGTCCCAGCAAGGCCGGGGGCCTCCAGATGGTTCTGCTTGAGCATCTCTTAGGAAAATACTGGGATTTTCCTGGTACCTTTCTGTTGTTGATTCTACTTTAATTTTGCTGTGGTCAGAGAACACAATCCTTTTGAATTTATTGAGCCTTATTTTATGGTGGCAGGACGGCCTGTCATGGTGAGTGCTCCCTGAGCACTGAAAAGAATGTGCGTCTGGATGCCCATCAGGCCAGGCGGCCAATGGTGCTGGGCAGGTCCATCCTTGCCGGCTTCGTTCCCGTGTCCTGAGCTGCTGGCGTGTCCTGACCTCTCCACCGACAATGATCTGTGTCTCCTAGTGGTTCTGTTAGCTTTTGCTTCATGTATCTTGATTCATGTTAATAGTATATTTAAGATTGTTGATCCTCTTGGCGGATTTCTCTCTTTGTCATTATGAAAGGTCTCTCTCTCTGTCCCTGGCAGTATTTCTTGTTCTACAGAGAAGCCGGGCCAGATTCCCGGGATGAGTAATGGCCAACCCCTTCCTCTTCGTTTCTTCCATGTTCAGTTTCTTCACATAGTTTCAGAATTTATCTGTTAAATTAATACATAGTAAAGTTGACTTTTGTTGGCAGTGTACTTCCATGAATTGTAACTGGTGTAGATCTGTGTGACCCCGCCACACGTCCTATCACCCCCACGATATCCCTGTTCTCTCTCTTCAGGGTCACAGATGCCCTCGGTCCACTTCACATGCAACGGACAGACCTGGCAATGTTTTATTCCCTTTACTCAGAGGTGGGTAAACTGTGGCCCACAGACCAAATCTTGCCTGCCGCCAATTTAAACACAAAGTTTCTTTGGACACTGCCATGCCCGGTCATTTACGTGTCATCTGTGGCTGGCTGCTTTTCATTACTCTGGCAGTGTTGAAGAGCTGTGACCACCTGGCCGGAAAGCCAAAAATATTAATAGCGGGCCCTTTGCAGGGAGAGCTGGTGCACTCTGCTTCAGGCTATTGGTGTCATAGAGTTTATTTTTGTATATGTTACATAGTCCAAATTTTATTGTTATAATTGTGTTTTTAAATTGTCATTAAGGTGATTAAAAAATAAAAAGAAAAGTTATATCTGCTCACATTTTTACTATTTCTAGAACTCTTCATTCCTTGGTGTAGATCCAGATTTTCATCTGGTACCATTTTCTTCTATCTAAAGAGTTTCCTTTAGCATTTCTTGCAATGCAGATATGCTGGTGATGAATTCTCTCAGAGTTTTCTTTTTTTTAATTTTAAAAATATTTTTATTGATTTCAAAGAGGAAGGTAGAGGGAGAGAGAAAGATCAATGATGAGAGAGAGAATCATTGATCAGCTGCCTCCTGCATGCCCCCTACTGGGAATCGAGCCCGCAGCCTGGGCATGTGCCCTTGACTGGAATCGAACCCGGGACCCTTCAGTCTGCAGGCCGACGCTCTATCCACTGAGCCAAACCAGCTAGGGCTCAGAGTTTTCTCTGTTGGAAAATCTTTATTTCACCTGCATCTTTGAAAGTAGGTCGACAGTGTTTTCCTTTCTGCCCCACAGTCTGGCCTGCATGTCCCCGTTCCTCTGTTTGGATTCTGTTTTTTCCTCTGGCTGCTTCTAAGATTTTCTCTTTGTCACAGGTTTTCAGCAAGCTGACCGTGGTGTGGCTTCATGTGATTTCCTTAATGCTTTTCTTGGACATGTGGGTCTTAGTTTTCATCAAATGTAGCGAATGTTTCTTCATATATTTTCTGTGCCCCCAGCACTCCCTCCTCCTCGGACTCCAAACGCACCACTAATCACTGAGAGCTGGTCCTAGCCTTACTCTGCCTGTGCTGCGTGTGGAGCTGTTCCGTTTCTCTCTTCAAGTTCTCATATGTTTCCTTCTGCACTATCTACCTACTGTGAATATGGTCCAGTGCAGTTTTAAAATTCAGACACTATATTTTTCTTTTTTTAAAAAAACGTTATTGCTGGAAGTATTACAGATGTCCCCCTTTTTTCTGCCCATTACCCACTTCCACCCGGTTCCCGCCCCACCCCAGGCCTTCACCACCCTATTGTCTGTGTCCATAGGTAATGCATATACATATACCTGCTTCCCCCTCCCCCCTCCCTCTGAGATTCATCAGTCTGTTCCATGTTTCCTTGCCTCTGGTTCTATTTTATTCATCAGTTTATTTTGTTCATTAGATTCCTTGTTCATTTATTTTGATTTTTAGATTCAGTTGTTTATAGATATGTATTCATTGTCATTTTATTGTCATTTTATTGTTTATAGTTTTGATCCTCCTCCTCCTCCTCCTCCTTCTCCTTCTTCCTGTATACCCTTCAACATTTCTTGTAATACTGGTTTGCTGGTGAGGAACTCCTTTAGCTTTTTCTTGTCTCAGACGTTCTTTACCTGACCTTCAATTGTGAATGATAGCTTTGCTGGGTAGAATAATCTTGGTTGTAGGTCCTTGCTATTAATCACTTGAATATTTCTTGCCACTCCCTTCTGGCCTGAAAAGTCTTTGTTGAGAAATCAGCTGACAATCATATGGTGCTCCCTTGTAGGTAACTAACTGCTTTTCTCTTGCTGCTTTTAGGATTCTCTCTTTGTCTTTTGCTCTTGGCATTTTAATTATGATGTGTCCTGGTGTGGGCCTCCTTGGGTTCCACTTGTTTGGGACTCTCTGCACTTCCTGGACTTGTAAGTCTATTTCTTTCACCAGGTAGGGGAAGTTTTCTGTCATTATTTCTTCAAATAGGTTTTCAATATCTTGCTCTCTCTCTTCTCCTTCTGGCACCCCCATAATGCAAATGTTGGTACACTTGAAATTGTCCCGGAGGCTCCTTACACTATCTTCATATTTTTGGATTCTTTTTTCTTTTTTCTCTTCTGATTAGGTATTCTTTGCTTCCTCATATCCCAAATTATTGATTTGATTCTCAGAATCCTCTGCTCTACTATTGAATCCCTGTAAATTATTCTTTATTTCAGTTAGTGTATGTTTAATTTCTGACTGGTCCTTTTTCATGTCTTTGACATTCTCACTAAGATCCTTGGAAGTCTCTTGAAAATTCTTGAGTAACCTTATAACCATGGTTTTTAAACTATGTATCCAGTAGTTTGTCTGGCTTTCTAGTTCTTGACAGTAAGAGGGAAATTCTCAGCACAGCTAATCTTGCTTGGCAAGGAGCAGGAGGCCAGATTCTCTCTCTCACTCTCTTTAAATAATCTCCAAATTTTGGCCAACTTCTTGCTGGATCTGATTAGAATGTCAAGGTTTGTACCTTGTAATGTGGCTAATGAGCTGATATCAGGAATAGAATGTCAGTTCTGTTGTTTCTTCCTGCTTGCTTTCCTTTGCTTTATTCTTTTGTATAAAATGTGGTTTCTTATTTTGCGTAGCATAATATTCTCCAAGTCCCGCCTTGCTGTCTCAAAGGGTCAGAGAAAGACAAGTATCACATCATCTCACTCATATGTGGAATGAACAAAATAAACTAATGAACAAAATAGATCCAGAGACACAGAGCATGGAATAGACTATTGAATCTCAGGGAAGGGGTGTGTGTGTGAGTGAGTGGGTGGGATGAGATCAACCAAGGAACTTGTATGCATATATGCATAACCCATGGACACAGACAATAGTGTGGTGAAGGCCTAGGGTGGGAGGTGAGGGCAGGCTAGAAGGGGTCAATGGGGGAAAAAGGGAATATATGTAATACTTTTAACAATAAAGATTATTTTAAAATGCGGTTTCTTTGCAAAATCTTTTGAAATCACTTATGTTTTCTGACTTGCATTTAGTTAAACACGCTGATATTTAGATTAAAATCTGGACAAGGAGAACCGTGACATGTACAGTGATTTAAAGCAACCAAACCGGTCAGAGTGCCCCCCCCCCCCCCCGCACTGCACAGCCTCACCCTCCTCTGAGGACACAGTGACCCATGGCAGGCACAGCATCCATCTGCATCTTACTTGTGCGCAAATATAATTTCCTCCTTAAGTTTTTAGACTCAAAGTAAATCGGACTAGATTGTCCTGAGTGTCTCCTGGGGAGAAGCTGTTCCTGCTGTGTGCACAGCTGTGCTGGCACAGGGGCTGAGGCCGCTGGAGGTTAGGGCGATGCCTTGAATGAAAGCCCTGGATTTAATCTGTGGGTTGTCACATCTAGTTGGTCTTTTAATTGATCTGAGTCATAACCAGCATTTAAAACTACATGAAATCGAGTGGAAACTAGCAGATCTCATCCCCAGTAATAAAGGTCCGTTTTCTTTCCGACTCCCACAGTGGTTCCCTCGCCTGGTGCGGGGTCTGGGGCACAGGCAGTATGTTAAAAAGTCAGTGCCCTCCCCGAGAGTGGTCACCATCCCTGCATGTAATCAGGAGACCAGGCCAAGAGGAGAACTGATTTGCTCGGTCTCACATAGCACGTGGGTGGCACAGCCAAGACCAGTTTCCCCACAGAGGCTCAGGGACAGGCCAGTGCAGAAGACAGAGGTGGGGCTAAGCCAGACAGTGATGGAAAGAGGCCAGTGACCCCGAAAGCACTATCACCTTTGGGGGGGTTACATGGCCATTACCTGCCTCACAGCGTGGTCCCTCGAAGGGCCCTGTGCACAGACAGGTGAAGTTCCCCACAAGGTCGACACATGAGGCTCCGTTCAGGCACGGGCTGGAGCCGCATTCGTCCACGTCTGTGGGCAGTGGAGGTAGGAGCTGGGCTTCCAGCCAGCCTTTGACCACAGCTCCACATTTGGCCAGGAGTAGCCCCGCCCCTCCCAGCCCGCCCCACCTCTCTCTGTCCATTCCCTCTCTGCGTCCCCCTCCCCACCTTCCCGGAGTGCAGGCCACTCACCTGTCTCACAGGTGTTGCCCGTGTAGCCCGCTGGGCACTCGCACACTGCGGAGCCGCTGACCACCTGGCACTGGCCGCCATTCACACACTCTTTGGTGTCACATGGAGATGGTGCTACAAGTGCAGAGGGTGGAAGGCCGTTGGAGTCCTGGCTGCAGTGCCCCTGGGGCCTGTCAGGTGGTGGAGGGTCCTGACCAGGGCATTCCTCATCCACCGGCTGCTGAAAGCTCATCTGCTGAAAGCTGCTGTATAGAGTTTTGTTCAGCAGAGGGTGTGCATGCTGGATGGGGGCTTCGCTGAGCTGACTCAGAGCCGGACTCTGGGGCACTGGCTGAGAGATTCTTTCCAGCCAGGTGGGGGATACTGCCTGTGATGGAGACTTAAAGGGTGTGCAGTGCCCAGGGGTGCAGAAGGGGCCTCAATGGTCCTGGGGGGTTGACATGTTGCTGCAGGGACATCCTGTAAGGCACTCAGTCCCCAGTCAGAGTGGGAGTGAGCAGGTGCAGCCCACCTCTGTCCACCCTCCCACCCACCCTTCACTGGGGATTCAGTCTTCCTGACTTCCTGGTGGTCACTGACAGCAGATCCAGGGATTGGGAGACCCTGCTTTGCCCCTGCTACATTGCCTGTCTCCAGGCAACTCAATACAAGGACCAGATACATCCTGGATGAATGAGCAGCTCTCTCTGGAGTGGTGGGGGCGCAGGGAGGGAAGGGAGGGAGGAAAGCAAGGGGAGGGCCCCACCCCCCAGGTATGGAGGTGCTTTGGTGGCTAAAGTCATGGGCAGCATAGATGGGAGCACAGCTCTGAGCGAGCCTGTGACCACTCTAAGCCAGGGGTGTCTCAAGAAGGACCCCAACCCATACCCGGGCTGTGGGAGCTCTGGGGGTTGGAGAGAAACAGCTTCCATTCCTGCCAGAGCAGCTGGGGTTCAGGGTTCCAGGCTATAGGCAGGAAGAAGGTAGGGGGTGTTGGTGCTCCTCCCCACACCCCCACATTCTCTTCAAACCGGTTCTGGGGTGAGAGGGCCCGATGGCTCCTACCACACCCAGGCCCTGCCACCAGTCTGGCTCTGACACGGGCCCAGTCTGGAACTGGGTCCTGGCCGGTTCCAAGGCCTCCTCCCTGGTCTAAACACAGGGGCTCAGGGGGACCAAGTGCTGTGGTCAGTGCTCCTGCCCTGGACCCTCAGGCCTCTCTGGTGACCCTTGCCTGGGGCCAAGCCCTCTGGCATGGCTGATCTGACGGTTCCCCCAGGCTGCCCACCACTCCTTGCCGGGCAGGACCACCCGACCACCCTGCAGCCAGCAGAACTCGGGGGCCCGGGTGGTTTCCTCTTACCTGTCTCACAGGTGGGTCCCCCGAAGCCAGCTGGGCACTGGCAGCTGAAGCTGTTGACGCCGTGGGTGCAGGTCCCGCCATTCTGACATGGGTGGGAAGCACACTCATCCACATCTGAAAAACAGGTGGGCTGGGGCCTCAGTGGAGGAACCAGGTTGGGAGGATCTGCCAGGCCTGGGAGGAGCGGGGAGAGGACAGCAAACCTGGCCTTCCTGGGCCTCACCCTGGGGCAGTGGCTCAGAGGGGCAGCTGTCACACCTGTCAGGAGGCCACTGTGTTTGGCACCCCCAGTGGTGCCCCCACCACAGGGACAGAGACCCTTGACCTTGGGCACGGGGCCACTGGCTGCACTTCCAGGGTTCCTTCAGAGCCCGTGCCTCCCAGTGGGTGGGGCCATCAGTGAACTCACCCAGTTGGCACCTCCTCCCTGTGAATCCAGAGAGGCAGGAGCAGGTGTAGGAGGGGTTGCCGGTGACGCAGTCGTCAATGCACTTCCCACCGTTGAGGCACGGGCGCAGGGTCAGGCACACGGAGGCTGCAGACACAGGAGGAGCAGAGCAGTCATCCCTCCATCCTCCCAGACCTAAAGGTTCCAATCTCCAAGGAATGGCTGTGTCGCCCTCTGGCGGCAAAGCGTCCAGGGTTTTTCTTCCCAGGTCTGCGCAAGGGTGCCCGGTGCCCCTGACGTCTGTCCTCTGCCTGTGTCTCCCCTGGATGTTGTTTCCTAAGCTGTGACCCTGGCTGCCGGTGAAGGGCAGGCTTTAGCACCCCTGACACCCACAGCACCTTCATATTCCATTAATCTATCAGCTTCCAAATTTGTCCGAGGGACTAAGAAGACAGGGACCTGAGGACTCCCAGCAACATGGGGAGACACGAGTGCTCCTCGTGGACAAGGGGATCCCTGTGTGGAAACCACAGGTGGCGTGGGGAGCCCCTCAGACCCTCTGGCAGGTGCAGTCTGGTCCCAGCTCTGCCTCAGACAGTTACATAATTCGGGCATGCCCCGTGCCCTCTGTTCCCCGTGTGCAACACCAGGTCTGTGCTCAGAGATGTTGAAACTGGTGCTTCCTGGCAAGGGTGGGGGGTGCCTCCTGGAGTCACTCAGGGCCACCCAACACTGCCCCCGCCCAGTCTTCTAGGAAAGGCAGCATGTAGAGCCCTCTGGAGAATCAAGGCTGCTGACATTTGCGGTTAATCAGCACAGATTGGCAGGTTACGGCTGCGTCCTGCCGTAACTCGAGTTACTGAGGGCCCAGAGAGCTGGCATGGTGTCAGGGCTTGAGGGGGGCACTCCGGGAAGTACCCTGTGGCCCAGAACGCCATCAAGGCTGTGGGACTGCACCTTTCCATCACTTAGCTACATGTCACTCAGTCTGCGCTTTGGCTACACGGTGGTATGCAGCAGCTGACTGCACGAGCCCTGTCTCTGGACCAGCCTTGCTCAGGAGCTAGAGTTCCCGGTGTAGACGCACTGCCTTTCAGGTGTGAACCGACCCTCCCTTCCTGGTAAAGCTGAAGTGTGTAATCCCAGCACTGACCCACACTGGCTCCATCTCCTGGGCTTGCAGTGTGGGTGGGGACACCAGGGGGCTGGTCCTCCCCGCAGCACTGCTCCCAGGGCCTCTGCAGTAGTTTGGAGGGTCCAGTGTGCCTGCTCCATCTGCTCCCCCACAGAGGCCTGGGACAGAGAGCGAGGCACCTCTACATGGAAAAGGGGTCCACAAAGGACTGTGGGCCCTCTTCTGAGGACCCCACTCCTCAGGGTCACAGCCTGCAGCCTCTGCAGAGGAGCATGGACCTGCCCACACCTGCACCCATACCTGTTCATCCACCTGTCCCCACTTGTACTGACACCCACTCACACCAGTCCACACCTGCACCCATACCCTACTCTTCAACCACAGCCCAAGCCCCTGAGCCACCACTGACCAGAGCCCCCCTGGGGCTGCAGGAGAGCTTGGCTCTTAGGTGCCCTGCTTGCTACCCTGGGGGGGAGAGAGAAATCATTGGCACCTGGTGCCATGAGCCCCTCACCCCCTAAGCTCAGTCTCTCAACTGGGGGCTATTGGGTGCTCCAGTGAGTGGGCAGACTCAGTTCCCAGGTCTCTCTCAGGGGGATACCATCCTCAGTTGTCTGTGAGTCTTTCTGCCCCAAGCATTGTCATGGGTGGGGGCTCGGTGTCTGTCCCTCATGCACTCACACCCTACCCGGCCCTGGCCCTGGGGTGCATGCCTGCCTCCCTGGGTGGGCTCTCACCCATTTTATTTTAGGGGGAGCAGCCCTTCCCAGTGGCCTGGGTCTCCATGGGTTAGAGGTGAGTTGGGGGTGGTGGGAGGTCCCAAAATCAGCCTCAAAATGGCCAGGGCTTAGCAGGGCTTATGCTCAGCCCCTCTAGGCGGAGTGGCTGAGTCAACCACTGACACCCTCCCTCTATGGAGGGTCTGTGACTCGCCCAGTGCCACACACCCTTCTGCAGCCAGTCCGACTGTCCCCACCGGTCACGTGCTCTCCCCTGGGGTGGACCCTTCCTCCTCTGCAGTGTGTTCTGAGCCGGAAGGCCCCCGGGTGTCAGGGACCCTTGGGTGTCTCCCTCCCGGCGGGTAGATGGATGTCCGGGTTGTCAAAAAAGCTGCAAGTCCCAGCAGAAAAGGTGAAATGGGGTGAACAGAACACCTGTTTCCCAGGTGGTCAGGGGACACAGGTGGCCGCGGACGCCCATCTCGACCCAGGAAGGAGGCTGGGCTCCTCCCCTTTGCACCGCAAACCTTGGGCTCCAGCGGGGATCCCCGGCCCCGCAGCTAGGCGCGAAGGCCCCCCACCCCCAGGAAGAGACTGAGGCTCTGGGGCCAGCGGGGGCGGGGACAGTAGCCGCGATGGGCGGAGCCACGCCCAGCCCAAGGGCCCGGGGGGAAAAGCCTGGGCCCCAGGGTTTTGGGGGGGGGAGGGCCAATTTGGGGCCCCTTCCCCCCCCCCCTTGAGGAAAAGCCCCTCCCCGGCCCCCTGGGCTCCCCCCCCCCGGGGATAAAAGTTTTTTGTGGGGAAAGGATAAAAGTGGGCCCGGGGGGTTGCTTGTTTTTTGAAAACCCCAATCCCCCCGGACCCCGCCCCGGTAGGGGATGGGGTCCACAAACCCCCTTAAAGAAAAAAAGAGAAGAAACAAGGGAAAATACAAAAAAAAAAC